TGAATGTACTATCTCGATCATTTAAACATCTCGGACTCGCCCACCACTAAAAATGATTATTTAAATCTAAAGTATATATTAAATGATATTTAATATTTGCTTTATAGATGAAATTTCGACAAATTTGTTTAAGCAAAAATGTTAAGCGCATATGCAGAATGTGGAAGCGAGATTCTTCTGCTTGCGTTTCTATGTTTATATCATTTATCAGTTTAAGCACATACAATTTAATGTAAAAACAATATTTTTAATTACGGATCCGAATGAAATATTTATTAGTTGCATTGAGTTACGCAAAAATAATGCCGAAAATCAATCGATTGTGCTGAAGGTGCCGGCTGCTTCCGAAAGGGCCGAAAATGGCACAATGCACACTCATTTTCCATCACTGTCACAATACAATTCTGTTGACTTCGTTTTCCCTTCCGATAACTTTTTGCTTCCGCGCTTGCCCAGCACCGCTGTGCAAAGCTTTGTACGCGCAGTCGCCCGCGACACATATGTGCTGATTTGGGCATCCCTAGCATAAGCATCCAAAGGTTAATCATGTCAACCCAATAATTTAATATTGGTAAATTTCTACATTCATGCTTCTGGCAAAAGGCGAGGATATATTAATTCTTAAATTATTTTCATATTGGGTACTTAAATATATGTATGTACATATACTTACTGCATTTCATACATATACTAAATATTGGTTAAAGAGCTTTGACTTAAGTTATTACATAATTTTGTCATACTGCTGTGGAAATATACGTACGTAGATATGTAGTTATTTTTAATCTAGCTTCTACATTATAGTTAAAATATGGGCAGATATGTGGTGTACGATTGTGATGTTGGCAATGATGACGCCTGGGGTCTGATGATGCTCATTAAAGCTGAAGCAGTGTACAAAAATCGTTCCGAATTAGCAGATTCACCAGCAAAATTTGAAATTATCGGCATCACATGCGTACAAGGAAACACAAGTGTCGATCAGACTCTGATAAATACGCTGCGAGTACTGAAAGCAGCCAGCAGAAATGATGTAGGTATTTAAATGGCTGTTAATGTAATTAAAATCTAATTCTAAACGAAAAGCTCTCAGTTGGCAATCTATAAAGGTTGCAGTAATCCCATCATGAAAAATGAATGGAAAAATCCCGAAAATTTTCATGGAGAAGATGGTTTTGGAAATGTGGAACACGAGAAGCCAGTGGATTTGAGTTTAGTGCGAGAAAAGCATGCGGTAATTGCGATGTACGATTTTGTTTGCAAGGTAAGAAAATTTTTACATACACTCGTATGTACATATTTACAGATCAAGACATTTATTGAATTCTTAACATTTTAGCACCCGAAAACGGTGGACTTCATATTGGTGGGGCCGCTGACCAATTTTGCGACGTGCATCAATATGTATGGCTCAGCATTTTTGGATAAAATTGGAAAAATCTACATTATGGGTGGAAATTATAGGGGTAAGCAATTAATTATGTATGTATGTATATTAGGGCGGGGAAATTTGCATGGGAGATTTTTTCGACAGAAGGATTCTAGGCGTAATGCTAAGCAAATATGCCGAAGAAACCATGGGTCTAGAATAAATTTGGAGTTCGCCAAATTTCGAAAATAGGTTTCTTGGCATTTTGTTGTAGTGTCGTAGAAAAGTGCTTAAATTTTGTGCAAAAAACATGCTACAAGTGGTTTTTTGGTATGACGAATCTATTTCTGCACTTATTTTTTTTCTTAAAACTTCCACCAGAGGTCGCAACATTTTTACATTTCTATCGAAACCAATTTCGCAATTTGGCAAACTCCAAAATGATTTTAGACCCATGGTTTCTTCGGCATATTTGCTTAGCATCACGCCTAGAATCCTTCTGTCGAAAAAATTTGGGCAAATTTGTTTAGAAGTACACGTAGGGTTCTCCTATGCTATACGTGCGTAGTCAAAAAATTTACCCGCCCTAATGTATATGTATAAGGATCTAATTTTAAAAATATATAAATCAACATCAAACACATTTCTTGTCTTCAGAGATCTATAGTCAAATTCATCGGCCATGATTTTTTTTTTTGAAGTTTGTCTACTTTACAAAATTGAAATTTTCAGAGCAACTCAAACGCCAAATAAAAGTAAAACAAAAATTAAATAGATGAAAATATTCCATTTCGCTTTATCCCTATAAACAATTTTCTGAGTGCTCACAATTTATGAGTCTTTCTTTCGTCATAAATATGATTGTGAGACCAGTCAACCGGACTGACTCCTTTCGGACTCTTTGGTAAATTCTGAGTTGAACAAAACTATCAAAGTCACACGTATTTAGAAGTAAAAGTTTATTAATAATCGGACTTATAAAGAATATTTTTTTTAAGATTCAGAAAGCCTGGACTCATAATGGCGTGCCCTTCTAAGAAGGGAAATATGCTCTTTTCTGTCTGACCCTTTTTTGAGCTCATGATGGGGGTTACAACTCAGAATTCTGAGACTTTTCTAACTCTGAAATGAGTCCGAATTTTTATAGGGATTTGATACCGAAAGTGAGAATGCATGGGTGAGATTGAAAACTTGAAAACATTTTC